GATAATTCGTGAACCAAGTTTAAATGATAGTGATAGTCAATCATATACGTATATATAATCAGTACTCGCTCTTATTCAAAACCGTTTAAAAGTGTTTTTAACACTTAATTTGCAATATTCATGTTTCTTCTGTAATCCCAGGTTTTAGTTTTCCTAAAGATTTGAAAACGTTCGCCATTTGCTATCTTAGGGATCTATATAACTGAAATGCACAACAACTTTCCTACTTTAAAAAATGATAACATTATAAGAGCTGCAAAAGGGGAGTCTGTTTCCCGCCTACCTGTATGGATAATGCGTCAAGCTGGTCGTTATTTACCTGAGTTCCGTGAGCTACGTGAAAAACACGATTTCTTTGAGATTTGTCGTACTCCAGAACTTGCCTGTGCCGTAACTCTCCAACCCATACATCGTTTCGATCTTGATGCTGCGATTATATTTTCGGATATATTGGTTATACCTCAAGTGAGTTTAATTTTAGTTTACAACTGTTATTGATTAGTCTCCTTCCCTTTAATATTATCATTTGATTTCTTTAAGCTAAACTAACTGAGCGAAATAAACAGTCACTCCATTTTTTCGTTATTTCTGTTCTCAACCACTGTTGCTTACATTGTTTAGAACACAAAAGATCAGTCAGGTTGAGATTTAATCACAAGTTCTGTTTGTGATTAAGTTTTAGGTTTTCTTATTTATTTGAACACAAATATTGGTACAAAGGGGCACCGAATACAAGTCACTTGATTTGTGTGTGGGCTGTGATACTGCCCGGGTGCTCAGACCGGAGCAGGTGGTTTCCTTAAGAGTCTAATTTACAAGGTATTGGAGCAACGTCAGGAAATGCAGTCCCATGGTAGCCGGTGACCAACAATAGGTTCATAGGCCATTTGTTCCTCCAGGATCCTGGAACCCATGTGCACATTGGTTTGGAATCATGGTTTTTCCACTCCCCTAGGAGGGTCCTCCGTGTCCACCAACCCGGTGAGATCGCTTGACATCCGCTTTCCGTCTTTTCAGTTTTATGAACAACAGTAATACCGTGAGAAGGCAATGATGAGGACTTACCTTATTATTATTTATTTATTTGAAAACTTAAGTGTTGGTGCAAGAGGGTACCAAATATACATGCGCCACAAAAACAATGAGAATTCGAAGAAAAAAAAGGCAAGGAGCATAAAAAAAGAACAATAACGAACAGATTAGTGTAAGGTAGTGTAATAATAATAATAATAATAATAATAGGGGAAACAGAAACGTACAATCAGAAGAGATCTTTCAGTTAAGGAAGAAGCGCGGATCGGCAAAGCAAGAGCAGAATATTTACAACTGAATAACATCTGAAACTCAAAGCAACTGTCAACCAACACCAAGGTCAGGATTTTCAATACAAATGTCAAGACACTTCTACTGTCTACTGGGGCGGGAACCTGGAGAACTACGAAATCCGTCATCCAGAAGATACAAGTGTTTAATAACAGTTGTCTACGCAAAATACTTCGGATCCGTTGGCCAGACGCTATTAGCAACAACCTACTGTGGGCGAGAACAAATTAAATCCCAGCGGAGGAAGAAATTAGGAAGCGCTGGAAGTGGATAGGACACACATTGACGAAAGCACCGAACTGCGTCACAAGACGAGCCCTCACATGGAATCCTGAAGTCCAAAGGAAAAGAGGAAGACCAAAGAACACATTACGCCGGGAAATGGAGATAGACATGAGAAAAATGAACAAGAATTGGATGGAACTAGAAAAGAAGGCTGAGGACAGAGTGGGTTGGAGAATGCTGGTCGTCTGCCTATGCTCAATTAGGGGTGACAGGCGTAAGTAAGTAAGTAACCACTTTTTATGAAGAAAGTGAAAGAAAGTTACAGCAGGATCGTCACTGGCTCCTAACCTGAACCGTATCTGATAACGTCTCTAGCTACTGTGTCGCACTATCTCTAGGACCCCAGCCAGAGAGTCGAGAAGGACCAACAAAAGCCAGCTCTTTGCAGCTTTCTTTCATACCATGTCATACACTGACCACCTCTCCGCTTTTTCTAACCAGTTCCAGAGTCGGCGAATAATACACGACGTGGAATTCTCTGGGAAGACATTCGTAGAACATGTCCAAGCCACTGAAGTCGATGTTTCTGGATGGTGACACCAACCGCATTATCGTCTCTGCGCCCGAACACATGGTCCCGATTCTCTGCATTACCAACATGGTGTTGCCACTGGATGTCAGCAGTCCTTCGGAGGCAGCGATGATCAAACACAGAGCGTCATCTAACATCCTCGGAAAGGCCAGGATTCACAAGCATAGAGCAAAACTGCTGTTACTGACGCGTAGATCCGACCTTTCACAGCCAGACTTACATCAGGATGGCGCTCAAAGATGGTCCAGATTGGCATAAGCCGCTCTGACTTTCACTATACGTGCATTGATCTCATCACTCACGCCACCACCAGCACTTATGCAGCTACCTAGGTACACGAACTTCTCGACTATTTCTATCTGCTCATCATCCAGGGTGAGTACAGGATTACGATCCTGTCGGTCTTGTAGAAGTACTTTGCATTTCGAAGGAGCAAAGCACATACCGTACCTACGGACACTGATTGCCAACTGATTAAGTGCGGATTGCATGGCTTGGGCATTATCGCATAGTAAGACAATATCATCCGCATACTCAAGGTCGAGAAGTCTTTCTCCAGGCAACAGGTCCACACCGCCATTACTTACACCCATCAGAGCTGAATATATGACTTTCCAAAGACATAGCCAGCCCTATCTGTTGTCCGACCTGCATAAGTGTGTGAACGTTGAAGACAGCCAGTTTGAATGGTTCTCGTGATTTCAGAAAAACTGCTTCAGTATTCGTATTTGGTGGTAGCATACAATTTTCAACCAGGCAGTGACTCGAGAACGTTTAGGTAGAACAGAGTTTCTACCATGAGCGAGCTGCTGTATAAGTCGAAAAATAAGGATACACAAAGTAGGAATAAAAGAGAGTGAATAAGTGACGTTGTAAATAGTAATAATAATGTGAATTGTTTGACTTAATCGAAGCGTGAATAGAATTTTCAGTAAATATCGTCATTTTCATTTTATTTGTGTGTGGGCTGTGATACTGCCCGGGTGCCCAGACCGAAGCAGGTGGTTTTCTTATTAGGCCACACCCCGAACCTTTGACCTAAAGGTCTGACCTGCAAGGCAGTGGAGCATCGTGAGGAGATGCAGTCCCATGGTAGCCGGTGACCAACGATTGGTTCATACGCCATTTGTTCCCTCAGGATACTGGAGCCCATGTGCACCATTGGTTTGGGATCCGGTTAAAGCGCCGGATATTCGCTTTTCGTCCTTTCATTTTCGTAAACAACAGTAATGCCCCGCGAAGGCAGTGAGTAGGACTTCTCTGGAAGAGGCTGTATACGCGTGGCCGTGTGAGAGCATTTCTAGAGGGAGAGGGGACTCTTCCCACCCTCATCAGAAATCAATGGTTTTTGAAAAGTTTGAATCAGAATGTCTGTTTCTTACAGATTTAGGGTTAAACAGTTAGTTGTAGATCTATTAAAATGCTTTATGACAACTGTATCTGAACAAATCTATATGTGCTTGGAATATTAAGCGGATACCATATTCCATCTTTTAGCTTATCCACTCTTTACAGGAAATCTATAACACAAATATCTAGTTCAGTATGCATTATTTTTACAGTGATCTATTTTTGAAATCTAATCTCCAAATAAGTCTTACTAAGCTATCAGTTGTTTTTCATGAAGAACTAGTTGCAGAAATTGAAACTTTTGCTCGACACATAGACTAATTGACTTGCAGTTTCGATGACCTCGAAGAATGTATCACATAAAATGTTCTCAGAGCTGTAACTCAGCTATGAGGCTTTTCGGTTGTTGTCTACTACTTCACGAATTTGAATTTCGTCTATTTGTATTCCGAAACCCTTATGATTATGGCAACTATTTTACATGACTCAAAATCAGTTTCTGGTTCAACCGGTAAGCGGTGATGTAAATACATTCATTCTTTATCTTCTCCTAGATTCATAGTCTCAATATTATTACACTTATCTCGAACTGTATTCTTTATATGTAGTACCACTTTCATTGAAACTACTACTATTTCTTGTTCTTTGCTATCTATCACTATGGTCCCGTCTCACTTTGATGTATTAATTGATAATGATTGCTGATATCACCAAGTCGACTTTTACTAAACATCGTATGACTTGGTTGGTAATCTTTACCTTTTCACATTTCGCATCCGACAACTACATACTAAATTTAAATAACTTTTGGATACAGTATGCTAATATCATAATATATATTTGTTGTCACACGATGAAAGTATTGTTGTAGTTTTTCTTTTCTGTAGGCTCTTGGCATGGAAGTGAAGATGCAACCTGGTGTCGGACCTAAATTTACTGAACCTTTAAATTCAGTAAACGACTTAGATCGGCTAAACGCTCAAGTTGATGTACGAAAAGAATTAGACTATGTTTATAAATCAATAACCCTGACACGCCATCGACTAGAAGGAAAGGTCCCTTTGATCGGTTTTGCTGGTGCTCCCTGGACTCTAATGTCTTATATGATTGAAGGTGGAAGTTCAAATACTTATTCCAAATCAAAAAAATGGTTATACACCGAACCTCGATCAAGTCAGAGATTGCTTAGTCTACTTACTCAGATAATTGTAGAGCATTTGATTCAACAATTTCTTTCCGGTGCACAGTTACTTCAAGTAATTGCCTTTTTTCTCATTTTAGTTTTTTATTGGTAGTGTGCTAATTATATACATTCGATAAAATCCACATATAATATAGTAAAACCTCCCGATTATTTGTGTTGTGATATTGTTTTAACTTCCCCTAATATAGTACTGTTTTCTTGATCTATGGGATCACAGGTTTAAACAGTACTACACTTATGACTCCTGAATAACGGGTTACGGGTCGAAATCTATCATGAGAACTAACACTTAGTTACTGAGTTATAGTCAGTCAGTCAGTCAGCTACAACGTAGGACCAGGCACATATGTGCATCGGTCCAGGTTGCCATACCTCATTAGCACAACAAGATGAACACCGGATTCATAGGAGTGGTTAGGTCAAAGGTTGCAATAAGGATATAGTATAGGAAGGAAGAATTAGTTCGTAGAAAGAAAGATATGAAGTGATTTAATCTCTTAGTTTAAGGGAAGACAGGGAGTGTATACACCGACGCCATTGTGATCGATTCTGAGCCATGTCACCAAGAGTCTCCAACCATTGGTTACGAAAGTCACGCGGACCCCAACCAAGTAGTCTGCATCTACCAACATGGCTCAGACTAGAAGTTAGTGACTTCAAGCACTGATGCCACGTTTTGGTTTGGCCGCCCCTAACTTTCTTCCAACCAACCCCTACACCGGTTAGCATTGCACGTCGTGGTAATCGGTGTTCAGGCATACGTAATACGTGGCCCAACCATCTCAGTCGATGAAGATTCATAACCTCATCAACTGATTTACCATCATTCCCTAATACCCTGCGTCTAACCTCACTATTACTTACCCGGTGATCCCAGCAGATGCCAGCAATATTTCTAAGGCATCTGTGGTCAAATACTTGTAGCTTACGGGTGTCTTCTACTCTTAAAGGCCATGTTTCGCAGCCGTAAATTAAAACAGAACGGACTGCCGCGCAGTATACTCGTCCTTTTATTGATAGACGGATATCTCGCCTCCGCCAAAGGTGACGTAAGTTGGCAAAAGCCAAACGAGCTTTTCGAATCCGTGCTGAGATTTCGTCAGACACCAACCCATTAGGGCTGATCAGACTTCCAAGATAAGTGAAGTTGTCAACGCGTTCGACTACTTCACTCCCTATCCTTAGTTCAGGTGTTGACGCAGACCAGTCCTGAAGCAACAACTTGCATTTAGAGGGAGAGAAGCGCATCCCAAACATTCTGGCATTGTTGCTTAGTGCTACCAGAAGACTCTGCATTTTGTCAGCGTCTTCACCAAACAGGACTATATCATCTGCGTATTCTAAGTCGATAAGTGGACCTCCTGGAAGGAGATCAATACCCGAGAATTCAGTCGACGAGAGTGTTATTTCCATCAATAGGTCTATGATGAAGTTAAACAAAAATGGAGAAAGTGGACAGCCTTGACGGACACCACTTGAAGTTGCAAAAGTAGATGACAGTTCGCCATAAGCCCTGACTCGACTAGTAGTGTTCGAGTAAAGAGTTATAGTCTACTTGGGAATACCAATTATTTTTAGTGAGAACCATATACCTTGAAGAGCAATTACTAAATAACGGACAATCTACTGCTATGATCATAGAATAATTCGCTTTAACCGGGTTGGTAGATATGGAGGATCCATTTAGGGGAGTTGGGAAACCCTGATTCCGAACCAGTGTGCACATGGGTTCCAGGATCCTGAAGGAACAAGAGGCGTATGAACCTGTTGTTGGTCACCGGCTATCATGGGACTGTATCTCTTAACGTTGCTTCACTACCTTGTGTATTAGAACTTCAGGTCTAAAGCTCGGGATGTTTCCGCATAGAAAATCACTTGCTTCGGTTTGAGTGTCCCGTAGGTGTTCCAGCCCTCACACAAATCAATAGTAACTGCTACTGGCCTCATTGTTGTTGTGTGGCACATATGTATTTGGTACCCCATTGTACCAATGTTTATATGTTCAAACAAGTAAATTAAATTTGTGAAACGTATCAAACAGATCTGCTTTGCGAATGTATTTTAATCCTGGATTCGATTGATTAATTAGTGAAAGCTGACTCAGTAGTCGAAATACACATCCCAATTTTAGTTAATCTTCGGGTGGTAAGTACAATCCCTAAACGACACCAATCGTCAATGATAGTTATCATAATTGTCAGGTGGTATGTTTAAGGTTTCACCAGCGTAGAATAGAACTTCGTGCACTGTTTTATTTATTTATTCACATAAATCCGAAATGGCAACTAATTTATTCTGGTGTATCTGGACTATTTCCAATCACTCACTATTCGGTAAATACCGATGCAAAAATGATTCAGTAACCAAGTACATGTACCTCGTTTTAGTTTTGCACCATATTTTTTGTACTTAAATGATAGATATACTTCACGTATTTTTCTACGGTTTCGAGTAACCTGTTATTGTAAATAGTTACTTATATTTTCTATTCTCGTAGGTTTTCGAATCTCACGCTGGCTTTCTTAGCCCATACTTGTTTAATACATTTTGTTCACCGTATTTGAAACAAATTGCAAATGAAGTACGAAGCCGTTTGTTGAATGAATACAAAATTCCTAACGATTATATTCCACCACTCATCGTATTTGCTAAAGATGGCCATTATGCTCTTACTGAATTATCTAAATCTGGTTATGATGTTATTAGCCTAGATTGGACCATATCTCCTAGATTAGCTCGAAATACTGTAGGTTTTAATATCACATTACAAGTAAGTTAAGTTTGCTTGCCACTAAGGTCGTCGGTTTTATGTTTATTTATATCCAACCCTGCAGTTTTTAACATTTCTATTGAAGACACATATTCAATGAGTAATAATAATGCTTATACAAATAAAGTCTAATCGATTTCAAACACTTGCTTGTAATTCATAAAAAGTTATTAGAACTAGTTCCTTATTACATAAGACTAGTTATATGTATTTTGCTGACTCAGTTTATTCATAAGGAAAGCATACACAAATCTGGCATAAACGAAACCTACTAGTTATCCGTTTCAAAATGGATTTCTAGTTAATAGCGGCAACCTGTTAGGTCTAAAGCTAAGACAAAATAGGTACCTAGTTAGTTTTCAATAGTTCTCCAGTCGATACTAATATGTAACAATTGTTTTCAAATTTTATCAATGCCTAACAAAACTAAATAAAAAACCCTTCTGAAACTAATCAGCATACGTTCACTAGTGACTGGCTTCAAGAGGTATTTCCTGGAGTTCTAGTGAGAAGCAGTGACCAGTGAAGTTCAACTGGGTCTGTTGTGAGACAGTAACTCACTGAAGACAACAGTGTATGTGTCACCCAATTCCGTGGATCAGTTGAAGTTAGACACTAACACCATTGGATGCCGGCTCAGTGGTTTAAAGGCTAAGCGTTCGCGCACGAGACCATTAGGTCTTGGGTTCGAATCTCACGAGGTGGGATCGTGGATGCAAACTGCTGAAGAGTCCCACAATATGACGAAATGGCCGTCCAGTGCTTCCAGGTTTTCCATGGTGGTCTAGCTTCAATTAACTCATGATCTCAACTATTGAAAACTAAATAAGTAATAAATAAAATCAGTTTTAGCTAGCTCTATATTCTTCGTTTAGTTAGCTAACTAATTTAATCAAGCAATTGATGGGAATATCATTTAATTGTAAAGTGAATTCCTAACTCTCCAGTTGAACGAGATAGTATCATGTTTATAAATAACAATAGTGCCCATCACTGTTTTGGAGGTATTATAATTTTATGGGAAGATTTGATTTTATAGTTCTATTTAGCTCACCATTTCAAGTTAACGTTGTCCCATTTCCTGTAAGCAAATATGTAGTATTGTTTCGTGGTCCTACAACAACTTTGAACTAAATCACTAATTTACATTTATGTACTCATTATTGTATAATTTCCATCCATATTTATAAGTTAAACTACTCATAACATTTATTTTTCTTGTTATAATTATTTAAAGGGTAATTTAGATCCTTGTGCATTATATTCTAATGAGAATGAAATTTTAAGTTTAGTAAAAGAAATGATTAATAATTTCGGTGTACATCGTTATATTGTCAATTTGGGTCATGGCATTTATCCTGATGTTGATCCAGATAAAGTGAATAAATTTGTTGATTTAGTGCATCAATTATCAAATACAATATTGAACTATTAAATATCTTTTGGTATTTTTATTCCCTTTTTTATTCGTAGTTTATTTTTCTGTATTTGTTCTACCTCTATTTCAATGAGTTTGCTGTTATTTTTTAGAAGGCTGTATAAATAAGTTATTTTGTACTTTTAGTTAGTTGTTAATTTATTAATAAAAATAAATTATGCTTTCTGGGGCAAGTTATTGGTAAAGTTTATAATTTATTTATTTATCGATAATATATAGATGGAGGATAAGTCATTTGCACAATCTTCTAGAATCGGATCCAATGAAATGAGTGTTTATAACTGGTTTGGTTTTCATTTATTATGTTATATACGTTGTATTACATAAATGTATGGTAAAAATTGTCCTCTTTTGAATGATTCTGTGTGGTAAACTTTAAGATTTCATTGAAAGTTCCACTGACAACGATGGTAAACGTTATATATAGACTAACAGACAATTTATAATGTGAAATTTTTTTTACCTTGTCGAATCATCGTGGTGCGTGCTCCTTATATTGATATAAGTAGTATATGACGCGAGTCAGAAATGTAATGTGTGGTAGCAGAAGATGGGGGAAGATCAAGAAAGCAAGAGTGGGAATAGAATGCAATTTGTATGGAAATGCAAGGGCAATGAAGTCTGAGGCATTATTGAGATGTTCTGTAACTTTGTGTCAAATACATCCAATTGTCCCCACCTGTGTTCTTGTTCACTACATCATGACAGTCTATTAAATCGTCGTGAACCGATTTATGTAATTTATTCACTTAAATTACTATCTGGCATTACAAATGTATGATACTGAATAGAATATCCTTTGGTTTTATTTTGTAATCTAACTGCTTTCGACTTGTTGTTTACATAACTGAATAGTAATCCTGTGACTCGTAATACAAATATATTTCAGAACTTGTGAATTCCAACCCTCATATATTCAATGAATCGTTTTGTCACAAAGTTAAAGTAATTCCCTTATGATCAGACACCATTGTTAGGTTTTTCCATAGTGAACTTACCTCTTTAAGGATTTGTATTATCTGCATTCAATCAGGCTCTTATATAAGTAGATGCATCAATAATAATTACAAATACGAGTGCATTCCCTCGGTTTTGATATTCATATCGAGACTCAAACTCACTACCTGTCTTGGAAATCAATACAGACGCGTTATTAGGACCAACTAAAACGAAACAGTCATCCCAAAATATACTGCCATTGTATGTATAGGCGATATCGAGGCACACATACCAACAACGACTGGTAAAATTTAGTTCTGAATATCAACAGTAGGGAAATATCTTCATACCTATTGAATGTTTTGTTGGTTATATGTAATCACTGAGTTAGGCGTTGGCGTACAGAGCGGTAACTAATAAGTTTGAGTCTCATTGTAAACATTTACACCTGGATAAAGGTACACCAAACTAATGGGACGCTCCTTCTGAACTCCTGTACTTACGATAATTCAAAAAATATATAAATTGATTTCCGTAGAAATATTCGTACAAACAAAACGGTGGAACAATGTGATGATTAGGAGTATTTGAATTATGGTACGAACTAAGAATCCCAGAAATAACGCAATTGACTCAAGAAGTACTAGACAATCACGAACGAATGTACTGTATTTAGAATTTGCAATCAAGCATTTAACAAGTACAAAGGAATCACTAGTTCATTCAAAAACCACATCCGCCACAGTTTAAATTGGAGTCTAAGTGTCTGTAATCGATTGTACGTCTTCTTAAGTTCATCCTGTCTGTCCGACATTCTATTGAATAAAAACTATTATCTAGAATGTGCACATTAGTATTGGGATTAAGAACCGAAGTCGGGACAGACTCACTTGGTTCCTAGGATTGTATACAATCGCCGTGTTGGTTGTGTACTGAAACCACTATGGAGAATTTAAAGCACCGATTTCCCAACACTATCCTCCCCCACGAAATAATGTGGGGTCTTTATATCGCCAATTTATGAATAATGTGGCTTCATTTAAAACATATTTCTCACATTGACTAGAGTATATATTGGAAGTGCCTTCATGATAAGGATAAACAGCAGTTGATATGAAATCATCCGAATTGTAATGAAAATTGAGCTC